CACCCCGGACTGTCCTCCTAGACACATACCCAAAGAGACACGCTTTATACCTGTATCTTTGATCCCCCTCACCCCTTTTTCACAAAACAACACACACATAAACACACATAGAGCCTTTGGAGAACATGCTCCCCTTCCACTAAAAATTCGAAATGTACATAATGATAATGTTAACGAGCTGATTTATAGTCGTCTGAAAAAAACATAGAACCAAGCTGATACCATGTACAAAACTAATGCTGTTCGAAGCAGACCAAGTTTAGATAGAATCCGAAACAAAAGGCCTACAATACACTTAACCATACGCATTGAATAAAGCAAGCGCACAACAATTTCAAAAGGCAATTCTCAGTGCACTGTTTTAAGCGAGAAACTATGTCAAATATCAATTTTAGAACACGGTGTCGGACTGGGTGAGAAAGGAGAAGGGGGGAAAAGGGAGGGGGGTGAGGGTGGTGGAGTCCAGAATGACCTTGGAGTAACTATATATTAATAGTTCCTCTCCAAGAGAATGACAGCTAAGTGCCGTTTGCAAGTCAGCCCTCGACTCTCACCTCCGTTAAAATTCTTATAAAAAGACAGGCCAAATCACCAACTCGCCGGGTGTGCTTTTAGGGGTCAGGTAAGGATGTAGCAGTGAGTAAGTGGTGAACAGAACGTCAAACAGAACGATAGGTGTCTCAAAATTCAATTAGCGATAAAGATATGAACCCTTATGACAGGACATGTACATGTTAATTGATTGTGACTAGTTTAATGATAAATATTACTGATGGAATTTTAAGATGTACTGTTCAAGATAGTCTTTGTAAGCAACAGAATAGCCAATGGCAAAAAGATAATCTTCATGCGGGCTCTTTCCACTATGAGGGCAGTTGCTCAATTCGCCGGCTGGGTGACGTACCTACTGTTAGCGCTATACGAAGGCGTGCATCGTGACAGCAGCTGGTAACAACAATTTTGTGAGCCAGCGAGATAAACTGAGATTTAGGAACGAGTTTCTGTGGTGCGACAACACATCAGCGAGCCCTTATTGTCTCTTTGAACGTACACGTATTTTTATAAAGGAAATTGCTATGAATGTTGATAAATATTAATTTGAATTTTCTTGAAACTGAAAAAAACCCAACTATTATGAGTTATCAGCAGCCAGTCCCTTGTTCACTTTAACAGACTAAAAGTGACTGTCTTGCCCAGTTAACGAACCGCCCCTGGTTTCAGATAGGAAGTTCTTGTTGTGATGCAGTTATGCTAGGACAAACGATTAAAGATGGATGGGGCATTAGATGTGTGCTTGGACCTTGCCAGATATGTCACGTGCGTGTCTGCAAGTATTAATTTATGTGTTTGTGCATGACAGTCCGTGTGATATGAATGTGAAAGTGTGTGTGTGTTTGTTTGTGTGTATGTGTGTCTGTATGTATGTGCGTGGGTGTATGCTGGTGTGTGTGTGTGTGTGTGTGTGTGTGTGTGTGTGTGTGTGTGTGTGTATGTGTGTGTGTGCCTGTGTGTGTACCATGCCGTGTGTGTGCCTGTGTGTACGTTGATGCATGTTCCTTTATGTTTTTGCTGAGAATGCCGTTTATTCCCGCCGACTGGCTGACCTTTGGATCTGGTTCAACCAAAGGCCTACACTGTTGATTTTACATACAACCACCTTTTTTCACGTAAAGCTTTCCGTAGTATGGTGTTCCAGTCACAGCCAGTCCTCTCTGTGATGTTGTTTACTCATCGCTGTCTCTGGCTTCCTCTTTGTATATTTTCTTGTGATGTTTGCTGCAGTATAGTCTTGGTCAGTCCAGGTGATCGTATTATATGCCCTATGTACCCGTACCTCTTCAGTTTGTATCTTTTAACTGAAGTCAGGAAGTTTACACACGGCCAAATGATGTTCCCAACTCTGGTTTTCACTACCCCATTGAATATGTCTTATACACACAAATTCTATTTTTGGCTTTCTAACAATATGAACAAAGTTACGTTATATACAATATACTGATGTTCGACAAGAAAAAACAAAACAAAAGAAAAAGAAATTTAATGTAACTCTATTAGGACGGAGATGACACATCCGATCAGCAGCAGAGCAAAGGAAATGTTTCTGCGCATTTCGAACCTTCATACATAAATCAGAAAGACAAGTTTGCAGTTTTCATAGTATGCATGTTGTTGCATTGTTTTTTAAGTTTCATATAAAGAAAACAGATTCGAAAAATCTGTTTGAATTATTACGTTATGTCCCAAGAACAGCACATCTTCAAGTGTTGTCGAATGACGAGAATGCACGTCCTCAACGAGTTAAAGAATACGGGTTTGGTTATCGGAATTTGTCCGCTGGATTTGTTCTATTCATTTATTTTGTTGTTGTTTTTTATTCAATACGTGTTATGTTAGAGGTGCCCTACAATACTAATTTGCCCCTACACTCTCTATTTTTCTACATCTCTCAGATTGACTACCTCTTAGGGAGTCGACGTTTGGGCGCCATTCCCGTGTGCTTGTCTCTGTTTGCCACCTTCCAGTCCGCCATTGCCCTTCTGGGGACTCCAGCTGAGATCTACACGTATGGCACGATGTACGCCTACATAACGATCGCAATGTGTGCCGCATATGGCGTAGGCGCGGTCACCCTTATACCGCTCATCTATCCACTCAAGATCACCAGTATCTATGAGGTAGGGGTGTATGTGTGTGTTTACCTTTTTTTCCTCACACCTGCTCTCTCTTTCTCTCTCTCTCTCTCTCTCTCTCTCTCTCTCTCTCTCTCTCTCTCTCTCTCTCTTC